AGATGAGTAAGAAAAACATCAAAAACAAAACTAACATCAAAAACAAAACTAACCAAGAAATAATCAAAAACTCAGATCTATAAGCCGAATCGAAGAAAAAAACTTAGATTTATAACCAAAATCGAATAAAAAACTCAGATCTACAACACAAATCAAACAAACCCAGATTTACAAAAAAAAATTATGAAATCCGGATCTAGATCTGTATGAGAGAGAAAGAGAGAAAAATTCAGATCTAGATATGTTTGTTTTCTTCTTCAACACTGTCACCACCATTTTTCCATTAACAAGAGCTTGAGATAGAGAGAACAAAATTCTATTTTTTTGTTACGGAGAGAGAAAGAGAAAGAGAGAAAGAAGAAAAGATAAGAGAAAAAATCAGATCTCGTAAGAAAAGAAGAAAGATAAAGAGAAAAAAAAATGGACATTTTTGTCCTCTTGCTAATAAATGATGATATATTTGCAAAGATGTACCAGCGTGTGACACGCTTGCAAACTGATCAGTGAAAAATGGTATTTTTACAAATGTCCTTTTTCAAAATTATTTAATTAGTATATCATTTATGTGTGAGTTAACTATGTTGTATTAGTGGCACACCAAAAATGATATTTTTGCAATTGTCCCTATAAAAAATCTTAAGTTTTGATACATATAAAGTAAAAAATTAATGGTGACATTATTCATACATTGTACAACAAAATACATGGGCAATGATATATAATCTTTATGTAAAAATATACGTAGTTCTACACCATGATCCAAGAAAAATACATATTTAATAATTTAATATTAAACCAATGCTTTTAACCAAAAAAAAAACTAGAAAAAATAATTTTTAAGTGTTTAAGAAAACATAAAAAAAGAATATGTATTCATTAATTTTTTATAATTATATTAGTGTCTTACGAAAAAATGACAAAAATAAATATATTGATCTATGGGTTGCACGATTATAGTTAGAATATGTTTAAGATTGGATGGAGCTATATTGCAATATATAATAATAAGTTTTCAAAATCTAAAAAAATAGTTATTTAAAATCAATGCCAAACTGAAAGAATTTTTTATTTAAAACAAATTTTCACATCCAAATTGATAATTGAACTATGATATTAGAATGTGTTAATCAATATAAAAGATATTTATATACTACCATAAATACTTACCAATACACGATATACATGATATGGGTACAAAACATAGGAAAATAGCTCAAAAATATAAAAAAGAAACCTAGAAATTTAGGAAGTAATATAGTATAAAATAAATAAATTATGAGAAAAGGAGAAAGCCATGAAATTAAAAGAAAGGGGCATATTGAATAGTGTGGACTATGTGGGTTCATAAACAGATAAGGGAGAACACATGAGAACATTCAACTGAATGATTGACTGGTGGTTAGGGTACGAGAAATTTTGCCTCTTCCCTCTCTCACTTACCACCTACCCTAAATGAAGCATTAAATATAATGTACTATGGGTCCATTTAAAACCCATATCCGTAAGCCTAAAAATCAATTTTCACACCGACAAACTTACAATTTAAAATCAATTGACAATGAGTTAAGAATAGTGGTGAACCATTTCTGTTTTTGATGTGGCCGTGTTCGTTCAGAATGATACTTTTTTTTTATTGATTTATTTAGTTCAGAATCTCACTTTGTTCATTAGATCAATTCTTGGACTTGTTGGTACTATCATGTGAGACTATGAATTTCAAATTTAAAACCCAATAGCAATGGATTGAGATGTTCGAATCATTTATATAATTCTGTTAAATCATCTCTATTTCTGATGTGAAATATCATAAAACTTCTAATTTCGTAAGCAAATGAAACAGAGTGCTAGAATTAGTGGACATACCTCAAATACTTATATAAGCATTCTTGAATTGAGTATGATTTATAATCTATTGATTATGCTAGTATTAAGTGCGTCAACATCCGTATTCAAATATGAATAATGTACGTTTGTTGACATATTTTTCTTTGAAAATTTTATGCACTTTCATAATTTCATTCTTGATAAACTCCTTTGTATTCCACACATATCTCATTTCATGATTGTAAGTTGTTTTCTTTAGAACTACATAACTATTTAATCATCTTGCTGAGATAACTCTTCTCACTTGACCATCTCAAATGGTCTCATCATCATATTGTCTTCATGATCCAATATCTGCAATTCAAATATAGTACATTTAGTTCCAATAAAAACGAATTAAGACAATAATTTTCTTTTGTTTAACTAACTTACATGGCAATGGTAGACATAGCCTGGTTTTTGAGTCGCGTCGAATGAGTACGATTCATTGGCGTGAATGTAAGAAAATCTAACAAGGATCTTCGTTACATGTCCAGGCATCATCTTGAATACGTTTTTCCAACTTCGCTCGTGTGCCGTCACCGCGGTCTTGTTCCCACGTGCGTATTTGTTGATATGGCACTTGACCGCATCGTTTTTCTCCGTCATGCAGTCCGTGAACTTCTCACTCTCCACCAATGCCGTTTGCTCCAACACTTTGAACAATCCCAAATGAATGTGCAACGGATGGTTATCTTTCGTCAAATTTATCACTTCCCACACCTTCATTAACGAGATTTTAATCATTACTAAAGACTCTTAAAAAATATAGTGAAATACGTATAATGGTATAATGGTATAATTATTGGCGTCTAGCGCTTTTTTGAACAGTACCTCACTTGTGCCGATTTTTGGAGTTTCTGTTACGGGAGCATAATAAGGCAAGCCATTGATGTATAGATGGGTTGGTTCGTCCGTGCTCGACACGTACTCGAACATTGCAATGTAACGAGTACGGACCGAGGTTGACACGTCAGCAGGCGGATACTTGATCAGTTTCTTCGGAATAGTCGACGTGTCAGCTTCTGATTCGTCCTTGATTATAAACTTCATGACTTTGCTGTTCTCTTCCGTGACAGGATCTCCCGATGGGTAAGGATAAGGTGCGTTGTTGGCGAGTATTGTCGTTTTCGACGTTGACTTTGAAAAGTCAACGACTACATCGACTATCTCCGATGGAGCGAGGAGAACCGATTTGGTCGAAACCGGTTTAGCTAGATAAGCCGAATCGGAACCGACCACGATTATATCTAGACCGTTGGAGAAGAAGAACCGGAAAAACCTAGCGTTACTAGCGTTCGTGATTCGAAACCGGTATTTTCGACGTCGAACGGTTAATCGCGGCCAAGCTTTTCCGTTCACGATGATGGCATCACCAAAATACTCCGGTTGCCATTGCGGGTGAATCGACGGGTTGTTTCCGGTTGCATTCATGTAGATTGAACCGTCTCTACCGAAACTCCGGTCAAACGCGATCAACGGACGGTCGAATTCGCGACCGGTAGGTAACCGGAGAGGAGATTCAAGGGAGTTGTGGCGGAGAATGTAAGCACCTAGCAAACCGGCGAGAAGGTTAACTCGGGTCAAACCGGCTGCATGGTCATGGTACCACATGTTTCCAGGTTGTTGCTTGTTAACGTAGTGCGACTTCGTTTTGGTCCATTTCTTTCCGGTTTCTTTAAAACCGGCGGTAAACCAAGCATCGGCATTTCCATCGCTCGTCGGTTCGTGGATTCCGCCGTGTAAGTGAACCACCGTGGGAATGCCGCCGCGTTTGGGGATCGCCGGGGAGATTGTTGGGTCCCAAGGAAGTATGTGAGATGAAGGGAGGTGATTGCGCCACGTCACGTAAGTGTCAACGCCATAAACGGCTTCGATTGTAGGTCCAGGGACTGTTGCGGTACGCTTCGAAGCACCGTATGCGAACACTGGCGTGGCAGGCAAATCTCTGTGGAATTTCTGTAGTTTTGTAATAATAATTTAATAATTCATATCAGTGTGACATTCTTTTGAGAACTTTCAATATCCAAATCATTTTATTGATTAGTACACTGATTAAAGTAATTCAAAGAGGCAGAAAAAGCAATCATAATTATATGGTTAGTGGGTACTAATTTCTTAAGCTCTTCTTATCTAATAATCGGCGAAAAGAAAGAAAATCAAATGAATCATTGATTTTAATAAACAAATTAAAGAAATTGAGTATTCATTGAGAGCAAAGAATATTAAATTTGACTAGTGAGAAAAGAAAGAGCATTGATTCGTCGCGGGTACTAAAAACATTTTAGATATTTGTTCTCAAGAGGACAAATAAGTGAGGACAAGAGTGTAAACACAAAGCGAATCTATTCTAATCACTTTACCAACGAAGAGCCGTAAGCAAATTGAAAAGCGATTAGCCTCACTAATCTTTATGAGTTTAAAATTTTAATTAACTTTAATTCTGTCGTAAAATGAGTTCAAATTAAAAATCATTTAGTTTTTCTTTTCTTTCTCTTGCATGTAATACAGGTGTCTATCACTTTTTTGTTTGGTAGTGATACAGGTGTCTATCACTGAAAGGTTCGTTTCTCTATCTAAATATTCTGGCCATTTATTCAATTATTATTATGGCCTCAAGACAAAAAATGGAAACGATCTGTATCCACGAAAGACTAACAGTCAAATTAAAATTTAATAACAATACCTAAATTAGCTTCAAGAAAACAGAGCAAACAAGGAAAAAAAAAAACAAGAAATGGAAAGAATTAAAATGAGAAATAAAGAAAATACCCATTTCTTGAAGAACATGCCGATTGTAAGAGATTTGGGTTTGAGTAAGCCATTTACAAAGTGAAAGCCATGTAGAGTTGGTATCTGAGGAAGCTCGTCTACAAACATCTCTAGCTTCTCAACGTTGAACAGTCGCTCTAGCTCGTGGTTAGTGCTTCTTGCGTCTATGGCTACGAGCCATACGATTAGAACCAACATGAATCTAGTCATCGTCTTCCGACAAAGCACAAACTCCATGTCTTTTTTCTTCTTCTCTAGTTGTGTAAATGTGTTTTGAAGAAAAGTC